GTCTTGGCCTGTCTTCAGGTCTCTGGAGCGGGCCAAAGCTGAAGACTGACACAGAGCTGAAATGCCTGCAGGGAGAACGGAAACTACCAGCACCTGGTCCAGGCAAGTCAGACCTGGACATAGTTAGAACGCCACATCTCTGAGCATTTTCTTTTCTTTGCTTTTTTCTTTCTTTTTTTTTTTAGATGGAGTTTCGCTCTTGTTGCCCAGGCTGGAGTGCAGTGGCACAATGTCGGCTCACTGCAACCGCCGCCTCCTGGGTTCAAGCCATTCGCCTGCCTCAGCCTCCCGAGCAGCTGGGATTACAAGGCACCCACCACCACGCCCAGCTAATTTTGTATTTTTGGTAGATATAGGGTTTCTCCATGTTGGTCAGGCTGGAACTCCCGACTTCAGGTGATCCGCCCGCCTCGGCTTCCCAAAGTCCTGGGATTACAGGTGTGAGCCCCCGCGCACGGCCATCTCTGAGCATTTTCTTCCTCAAACTCGAGCTAGGATCTTGGTGGTAACACCCAAACATGTCTGCCTATCTGCTGAGTCATAGGACTTCCTGGGGACTGGTTGGACTGGTTGCCCTCCCTCCACACTGTCTGGGGTATGACTGTCACTCTGTCAGGTAATAGATCTCTGGCTTACTGGACCCACACCTTCCCATTCCCTAACCTGTACTCTTCGTTTCAATGGAGCGTCTCCTCCTATAGCTTGCTGACAAAGCCTGCGTGGGAAGGTATTTTGAGATCGTAGATGTTTGGAAGTTTTTATGTCTAAACATTTTCAAATATTCATGCCTGGTTAATACGTGCACTGAGAATAGAGTTTTACCTTATAGATTACAGATCATTTTCATTCCGACCTTAGACATCACTGGGTCATCGTCTGGCCCTCAGTGTTGCTATGAGAAGGCTGAAGCTATTCTGGTTCTGTTTTTTCTTCTTTAGAAGTTTATAGAATCTTCCTTTTTCCCCTGAGCATTCTGAAATTTTAGTGACGTACCTTAACATGGGTCTATTTTCATCCATCTTCCTTGGTACTTGTGAGGCTCCTTCGGTGTGGAAATTTGCATTCTGCAGAATTTCTTAAATTGAGCATTAATACTTTCCTCCCTGGGGCTCATGCCTGTAATCCCAGCACTTTGGGAGGCCAAGGTGGGTGGATCCCGAGGTCAAGAGATCGAGACCATCCTGGTCAACATGGTGAAACCCCGTCTCTACTAAAAATACAAAAAGTTAGCTGGGCATGGTGGTGTGTGCCTGTAATCCCAGCTACTCAGGAGGCTGAGGCAGGAGAATTGCCTGAACCCAGGCGGCGGAGGTTGCGGTGAGCCGAGATCGCGCCATTGCACTCCAGCCTGGGTAACAAGAGTGAAACTCCGTCTCAAAAAAAAAAAAAAATTATTATTACTATTTTAGAGACAGGGCTTTTTTATGTTGCCCAAGCTGGTCTTGAACTCCTAAGCTCAAGTGACCCTCTCATCTCGGCCTCCCAAAGTGCTAAGATTATAGGTGCAAGCCAACATACCTGGCCCTTGCTCTAATTTTTTTAATCATTCCTCAACTTGATCTTCCAATTCTGTTACTGAGTTTTAAAAATTTCAATGATCCTGTCTTTGATTTCTAAAGCCCTTTCTAAACCTTCGAATGTTATCTAATGGAGCCCTGTTTTTGTTCCAGTTTTGGGATGCAGTAATGTGTTATCTCTCTGAAGACAAAATGTTTTTTTTTTAACTCCGGGCATGGTGTTTGGTGTCTGTTTCTTTCTTTCCTTTTTTCTTTTTTTTTTGAGGTGGAGTTTCGCTGTGTTGCCCAGGCTGGAGTGCAGTGGTGCAATCTTGGCTCACTGCAACCTCCACCTCCCAGGTTCAAGTGATCCTCCTATCTCAGCCTCCCAAGTAGCTGGGATTATAGGCACACACCACCAAGCCCGGCTAAATTTTGTATGTTTAGTAGAGATGGGTTTCACCATGTTGGCCAGGCTGGTCTCAAACTTCTGACCTCAGGTGATCCACACGCCTCAAGCCTCCCAAAGTGCTGGGATTATAGATGTGAGCCACCGTGCCCGGTCCATGGTGTCTGTTTCTTCCTGGTTGCTTTGATCCTGTCTGATCCTGTCTGTTTTGGTCTCTCTTCCATGTTCAAGGTTTTCCTTGAATGTGAGGTATTTCTTAGCTCTCTTCTCGATGAAAAGCTGAGTTGGAAGCTTGAGCACCAGGCACCATCCACTGAAACTTCACAGCAGGGTGGTCCGGGTGGCCATTTGCTGGAAAACCCAGTCCAGTGTTCTTGCTTTCCCTTTAAGCCAGTCATCTTCCAGTCCTCTTTCTGGGGCGGGGGGAGTGGTGGTAAGAGTTCGATTGTCAGGGTCCCAGGAAACAAGCAGAGTGGCAGACCTGGAAGGCCACATTCGCTATTAAGATACATTTGACTACTTTTTTTTTTTGAGACGGAATCTTGCTCTGTCACCGGGGGAGTACAGTGGCACAATCTCAGCACACTGTAACCTCCAGCTCCTGGGTTCAAGCAATTCTCCTGCCACAGCCTCCCGAGTAGCTGGGACAACAGGTGCAGCCACCATACCTGGCTAATTTTTGTATTTTTAGTAGAGACCAGGTTTCACCATGTTGCCCAGCATGGTCTCTATCTCTTGACCTCGTGATCTGCCTGCCTCGGCCTCCCAAAGTGCTGGGATTACAGGTGTGAGCCATTGTGCCTGGCCAGTCTCGTTCTGTTGCCCAGACTGGAGTGCAGGCACCATCTCAGCTCACTGCAACCTCTGCCTCCCAGGTTCAAGGGATATTTCTGTCTCAGCCTCCCGAGTAGCTGGGATTACAGGAGTGTGCCACCACCATCCAGCTAATTTTTGTATTTTTAGTAGAGTTGGGGTTTTACCATGTTAGCCAGGCTGGTCTCGAACTTCTGACCTCAAGTGATCTGCCCGCCTCGGTCTCCCAAAGTGCTGGGATTACAGTTGTGAGCCACCATGCTTGGCCCATTTGACTTCTTTATCCCTGGTTTTTCTGAGCAGTACTCATGTCCTCAATATGCCTGGCGTCCCCTGATTCAGAACAGCTCTGTTTTACCCTCTTCTGAGAATAAAATTCCAGACTTCCACTGTGGGGGCGTGGGAGGTTGTGCGGTGGGAGGGGATCTAGGGATCTAAGAGCTTCCTAAATAGCTCCCCTGACCAGTTTTTCTTATTTTAGCACCATCCCCACCCCCTTCACTCACAGAGGGACCCGGCCCTGCCAGCCCTCTGTCTTTGCCAGAGTCTGCCGTGTCAATCGTATACATGCTTAGCCTTCCCACGGCTGCCTGGGACTTGCTTGTCAGGCTTTCCCAGGCCTGACAACCAGTGACCCCTGTCCCTCTCCTCTTGTGGCCGTGCTTTCCCATCCTGCTTTTCTCAACATTGTGGGTTTATGTCTTTTTAAAAAAGAATTCCTCTTCCAGAAGTTCTAATGGGGTTTCAGGAGGCAGCAAAGTTAGATGCATATGTGCAGTCTGTCATAACCCGAACTCTACCCTGCAATCCTGAGATCCAGTCTGCTCCTGAAAATTTGCTGTGGGACTTTCCCATACAGTTATGGGAATTCATAAGCTCAACTTATGCCACAGACTTTGCGGCATGTGACCACACAGCAGGCACTCTGCTGGAATCTGGGATACAGATGTGTTTAGGGCATGCTACCCTCCTAGCAGATATCAGCTAAGGAGAAGAGGTGAGCATATTCAAGGGAATAGAACACAAGCCCAGAATTCCTCACCCAAATCCTTGGGAGTCATATAGGTTTAGATTCCAGAATTTGTCAGATTTTAGAAAGGTAATATGGGGCCTCCATGTATCATGAGTCTCATGGCACTCTAAGGAGGCCAAAGCAACACATTGATATCAAACACAATATTGCTGCAGTGAAATGTGTGGATATTCACAATAAATTAGATTTTTTTTTTTTTTTTTTGAGACAGAGTCTTACTCTGTCGCCCAGGTTGGAGTGCAATGGCATGATCTTGGCTCACTGCAACCTCCGCCTCCCGGGTTCAAGCGATTCTCCTGCCTCAGCCTCCTGAGTAGCTGGGATTACAAGTGCGTGCCACCGGGCTTGGCTAATTTTTGTATTTTTAGTAGAAATGGGGTTTCACCATCTTGGCCAGGCTAATCTTGAACTCCTGACCTTGTGATACACCGCCTCCACTTCCCAAAGTGCTGAGATTACAGGCATAAGCCACCCCGCCCAGCCTAAATAAGATTTTTTTTAGAAAAGATGATCAATGACCTCACATCCATTTAGGACAAGCTTGAAAACTGAATATGTTAATAAATGAGGTCCAGTTTTCAGTTTGGGGATTTCTGAGTTGTTGATAAGGCCCTATGAACTGGAATGTCTTAGTCTGTCTGGCTGCTATCACAAAATTCCTTAGACTGCATAATTAATAAATAATAGAAACTCATTCCTCATAGTTCTGTAGGCCGGGAAGTCCAGGATGGAGGCCCTGGCAGTTCTGGTGTCTGGTAAGGGCTTGTTCCCTGCTCCATAGATGGTACCTTGTGGGTACATCCTCACATGGGGAAAGGGGAAGACAGCTTTCTGGAAATAAATTTTAAAAACATTTAGGCTATGGCCAGGCGTGGTGGCTCATGCCTATAATCCCAGCACTTTGGGAGGATGAGGCGGGTGGATCACGAGGTCAAAAGATCGAGACCATCCTGGTCAACATGGTGAAACCCGTCTCTACCAAAAATACAAAAATTAGCTGGGCATGGTGGCACGTGCCTGTAATCCCAGCTACTCGGGAGAGTGAGGCAGGAGAATTGCTTGAACCCAGAAGGCGGAGGTTGCGGTGAGCTGAGATCGTGCCATTGCACTCCAGCCTGGGCAACAAGACTGAAACTCTGTCTCAAAATAAAAAGAGGAAGGAAGGAAGAAAAGGAAGGAAGGAAGGAAGGAAGGAAGGAAAGAAGGAGGAAGGAAGGAAGGAAGGGAAGAAAGAGGTTCAATGACTTACAGTTCCACTGGCTGGGGAAGCTTCACAATCATGGCGGAAGGCAAGGAGAAGCAAGTCAGTGCTTACATGGATGGCAGCAGGCAAAAGAAAAAACAAAAAAAACAACAGGTTATGCAGAGAAACTCCTGTTTTTTAAAACAATCACATCACTTCAGACCCATTCACTGTCACAGGAACAGCACAGGAAAGGCCCACCCCCGTGATTCAATCATCTCTCACTGGGTTCCTCCCACAACACATGGCAATTATGGGAGCTACAAGATGAGATTTGGGTGGGCACACAGAGCCAAACCATATCACCCAGAGGTTGGAAGCATGAAAGAATGTCACTTCTTGCTGGGTGTGGTGGCTCAGGCCTGTAATCCTAGCACTTTGGGAGGGTGAGGCAGGCAGATTACCTGAGGTCGGAGTATAAGACCAGCCTGACCAACATTTTTAGTCTCTACTAAAAATACAAAAAAATTAGCTGGGTGGTGGCGCATGCCGGTAATCCCAGCTACTCGGGACGCTGAGGCAGGAGAATCACTTGAACCTGGGAAGCAGAGGTTGCGGTGAGCTGAGATTGCACCATTGCACTCCAGCCTGAGCAACAGGAGTGAAACTCCATCTCAAAATAAATAAATAAATAAAAATTTAAAAAGAATGTCACTTCTCGAGCAACTAGGCAGCTTGGTTCCGGTTCGAGAGCCACGTCTCTTTCTCTGCAGAATGAGTCTGTTCTTCCCAGCTGAAGCATGGGCTGCAGTAGAGATGGAATGGTCTGAGAGAACAGGCTGGAGAGGTTGGCAGGGGCAGGTCATGGAGAGCCATCTGGGCCACACCAAGAAGTTTGGTGCCTGTAAGGCATCATTTCTCAAAGTGTGGTCTCCAAATCCTCTCAAGAAGTCCAAGAGGTCAAAATCGTTTTTGCAATAATGCTAACACATTATTTGCTCTTTTAACTTTGTTGACATTTGTAATGATGGTGCCAGAGCAATATTGAGCTGGGCCGGGTGCAGTGGCTCACACTTGTAATCCCAGCACTTTGGGAGGCTGAGGCGGGTGGATCTCTTGAGATCGGGAGTTTGAGACCAGCCTGGCTAACATGGTGAAACTTTGTCTCTACTAAAAGTACAAAAATTAGCCCGGTGTGGTGGCAAGTGCCTGTAATTTCAGCTACTCGGGAGGCTGAAAGCAGGAGAATCCTTGAATCCGGGAGGTGGAGGTTTCAGAGAGCCGAGATCCCACCACTGCATAAGACTTTGCCTCACAAGCAAGCAAGCAAACAAAAATCCCACAAAATCACATCATCAGAGGGATAGACTAGTTGACTTCTTGGCCTAAACTTCCTGCCTAGACATTTCAAGATGCTTTGACAGTCTCTGTTGTAGGCATCAAATTTGCACACTGTTGATGTGCAGAAACTTTCTGTTGTTTCACATTGAACTGAGTTTTGGGTTGGGCTTGGTGGCTCAGGCCTGAATCCCAGCACTTTGGGAGGCCAAGGTGGGCAGATCCCTTGAGGTCAGGAGTTCAAGACCAGCCTGGCCAACATGGTGAAACCCTGTCTCCACTAAAAACACAAAATTAGCCAGATGTGGTGGTGGGTGCCTGTAATCCCAGCTACTTGGGAGGCTGAGGCAGAACTGCTTGAACCCAGGCAGAGGCTGCAATGAGCCGTGATCATTGCTTTTGCCTGGAGGACAAGAGCGAGACTGAGTCTTTAAAAAAAAAAGGGGGCTGGACGCAGTGGCTAATGCCTATAATCCTGGCGATTTGGCAGCCCAAGGCAGGCGGATCACAAAGTCAAGAGATCAAGACCATCCTGGCCAACATGGTGAAACCCCATCTCTACTAAAAATGCAAAAATTAGCAGGGCATGGTAGCGTGTGTCTGTAATCCCAACTACTTGGGAGGCTGAGGCAGGAGAATCGCTTGAACCGTGGAGGTGGAGGTTACAGTGAGCTGATATTACGCCACTGCACTCCAGCCTAGGTGACAGAGTGAGACTCTGTCTCAAAAAAAAAAAACAAAGAAAAAAGAAAAAAAAATCAGTGGTAATATCAGTGGTAACATGAATTAATGAGATTTTTCAACTAATAAAATTTATCAGCATTCAACAGTGTAATGAAATATATCAATCTTAAGTTAGTGAATCAATATCTTCCACGAGATCAATGCATGATACTGTCAAATCATCCATGGATGAAATATCTATTAAAAATGCAAGATAGATCAATGGATTTTAACGTAACAGAGTAAGAAAAGTCTTTGTATATTGAAATCTTATCCCACATTGCAACTAACCTTTAAGGAACTATCACTTGAACGATCACAAGTTGAGTTTTGGTGTAGAATTTAAGAAGACAATTATCTGAAAGTCTATAAAAATAGTCCTCATTTGGCCAGGTGCGGTGGCTCATAACTGTAATCCCAGCACTTTGGGAGGCCGAGGCAGGTGGATCACGAGGTCAGAAGTTCAAGACCAGCCTGATCAACAGGTGAAACCTCATCTCTACTAAAAAATACCAAAATTAGGCCGGGCATGGTGGCTCATGCCTATAATCCCAGCACTTTGGGAGGCTGAGGAGGGTGGATCACGAGATCAAGAGATCGAGACCATCCTGGTCAAGGTGAAATCCTGTCTCTACTAAAAATACAAAAATTAGCTGGGCATGGTGGTGCACACCTGTAGTCCCAGCTACTTGGGACACTGAGGCAGGAGAATTGCTTGAACCCAGGAGGCAGAGGTTGGGGTGAGCCGAGATCGTGCCATTGCACTCCAGTCTGGGTAACAACAGCGAAACTCCATTTCAAAAAAAAAACAAAACCAAAATTAGCTGGGTGCAGTGGCAGGTGCCTGTAATCCCAGCTACTCAGGAGGCTGAGGCAGAGAATTGCTTGAACCTGGGAGGCGGAGGTTGCAGTGAGCTGAGACTGTGCTATTGCACTCCAGCCTGGGCAACAGAGCAAGACTCTGTCTCAAAAAAAAAAAAAAAAAAAAGTCCTCATTTTACCCCAAGTACATATTTGTGTGAGGTCCAATCTTCTCATAAACTTCAACCGAAACAATAAATTGCAACAGATGGACTGCAGAAGCAAAGATGAGAATTGAGATGTTTTCTGTTTAAGCCAAGCAACAAAAAGACTTACAAAGCCATGTTGCTCACTAATTATTTTTGTCTTGGAAGATTTAGCTATTTTTCACAAAAATCTTTACATGTAATGGGCTTACTATTTTATTTATTTATTTATTTTGAGATGGAGTCTTGTTACATTGCCCAGGCTGGAGTGCAGTGGCACAATCTCAGCTCACTGCAACCTCTGCCTCCTGGGTTCAAGCGATTCTCCTGCTTCAACCTTCCAAGTAGCTGGGACTACAGGTGCCCATCATCATGTCTGGCTAATTTTTGCATTTTTTGTAGAGACGGGGTTTCATCCTGTTGGCCAGGCTGGTCTCGAACTCCTGACCTCAAGTGATCCACCTGCCTCGGCCTCCCAAAGCGTTGGAATTACAGGCGTGAGCCACTGCACCTGCTCTTCAGTAACTTTTATAGCTGTAAAGGGGTCCTAAGACCAAAAAGTTTGAAAACCCTTGCTGCAATGAGCTACAATGAAAGAAAATTCAGTGTCAGATTTGAACAAGAGGTGGGATTTTATTCTAGAAAGATCCTTCTAAAGGCATATGGAAGCAAGGCCAGAGTGGAACCAGGTTGCAGGCAGGTGCCCCAGTCAGGGAGTGAGACATAAGAATGGAAGTGGGCTGGATGCAGTGGCTCATGCCTGTAATCCCAACACTTTGGGAGGCCGAGGAAGGAGGATTGCTTGAGCCCAGAGAAGTTCAAGACCAGCCTGGGCATCATGGCGAAACCCCATCTCTACAAAAGATACAAAAATTAGCCGGACATGGTGGTACACACCTGTAGTCCCAGCTCCTTGGGAGGCTGAGTTGGGAGGATTACTTAAGGCCGGGAGGTTGAGGCTGCAGTGAGCCAAAATCACGTCACTGAACTCCAGCCTGTGTGTCAGAGCGAGACCCTGTCTCCAGAAAAATAAAGAATGGAAGCGGTAATGAGGATGGGAGAAGAGAGGATTTTTGCAAAGGAGCATTCTGTAAGTTGAAATGACAGGACATGTTGGCTATCTGCCCACGCTCAGCCAGTCATTGCTCCTCCCCATAGCAGTATCAGTTTCATCTAAATTCCTTGTAGTCTTGGCTGTCCTGTCTAATGGGCTTCAAGCTCAATGTGTCCCAAAACAGATTCTTGATTTCCCTCAATCCAAACTTCTTCCTAGAGTCTTCCTCATCTTACAAATAAATACATATGTAGCAACTCCATTCTTCCAGTTGCTTAGACCCAAAACCTTGGAGGCATTAAATCCAGCAGCCAGTCCTGTTAGCCCCATCTTTTCTTTTTCTTTTTTCGAGACAGAGTCTTGCTCTGTCGCCAGGCTGGAGTGCAGTGGCATGATTTCTGCTCAGTGCAACCTCCACCTTCCGGGTTCAAGCAATTCTCCTGCCTCAGCCTCCTGGGCAGCTGAGACTACAGGGGTGCACCACCACGCCTGGCTAATTTTTGTATTTTTACTAGAGACGGGATTTTGCCACGTCGGCCAGGATGGTCTCCAACTCCTGACCTCAAGGGAGATCCGCCCACCTCCGCCTCTCAAAGTGCTGGGATTACAGGTGTGAGCCACTGCGCCCGGCCTAGTCCACATTCTTAACCAGTCTGCCGTGATACTTGGATTTGGGAGCACCCTAAACATCTAGTATTAAGGGGTTGGACCATGAACTCTAAGATGCTTCCAGTTCTCTGGGTCTGTGAGCTTGAGATTCTACCTACTTAAAATATTCATTGTTACTTGAATATTCATTGATTACTCAGAATATTTTGTTACTTGAATTAGTTAGCTAATTCATTTCTTCAACACGTATTTATTAGCTATTCGTTGCATGCTAGGTTCTGTGCTAGGCACTTCTCACATATTTTCTTTAATCCTGAGAAGTAGGAATTATGACGCCCAACTTATAGATGAGGAATCTGAGGCTTACAGAATTTAAGAATTTATCCAGCGTTCCCC